ACTTCTGCAGGAGTTGTGGGTGAATTACAAGTACCATCTCAAATCGTACAAAGGAAAATTGTTGCGGTTGAAGGTGGCGTGGGCCTTATCTTATTGCACGACCGCAACAATTACACGCGGGCGTTTGTATCGTAGAATAAAGTTAATGGCTACTCCACTTCAATACATAATGCAATTTATTTGTCTTAATGATGTTTAGCTAGTATCGGTAAATTGTGGATACATACACTGAGAGAAAAAATTATTCCTGCCAAGGATTGATATTCTCGTCAGAAGATAATATTTTTTCAGAACGAATTTTTCCAGGACAGTCATTTTCAGAGAGTCCAAGTCTATCCTCAAAAATTACAGTGATGTTGAACAATCTGATTATTATGCTACATATGACCTTGACAAAATGTTCTCCGATATCTTCCGGATTTTACAAATTGGCGATTTTCTCAGGTAAAGAAAATTGGAATAATTCCAAATGTTAATAATTATTATTGGAGTTTCTTCGAGGTCATATGCAGAAGAATATTCTTATAGATCACCATAATTCTCACGATTGGAAATGATTTCGGAGCACCTGGAAATGACTGGCCTGGAGAAATACGTTCCAAAAGAGATATTTTCTTCTACTAAGAGTATGAAAAAGATATCACCAATAACATTTTCTTGGGAGGAATAAATTTTTTTCTCAGTGTGTGGTTTTTTTTTCATGGTCAAGGAAAATTCTGTAATTTTTTTCGGCTGACAGCAGAGCATACAAAACTAACTTTTGTAATGTTAAAAAAATTAATCGCAATAGTCTCGGCAGAAATGAATAAACTAATTTCTCCTTGTAGTCGGGCTCTTATGAAATTTATGTTCAAATTGATAATTTACCTACTAGAAGACTCTTAGAATAGAAGGTAATGTGTAAAATCATACTGAATCCAATGGCAGGAGAAAAATCTGGGATATCCGGGCAAAAAGGGGAAATATTTGAATGACTCTACCCCATATAGCGCATATTAGCGCATGCATTTGCTACATTCTGTCTGAATAATGAACATGGCATGGTGGATTGACATTTAATATAAAATTAAATTTAATCCACCATTTAATTTAAATTAAACGTAATTAACTCAATTTTTTTTATCAATTAATGAATGAATTAATTAATTTATTCCTTTTGTATCAAAGTGGAGGGAAGATTTTCACCTCTCAGTTAAAAAACAAATCAATTTTTCTCAAGTACTTGCGATTTTGGATAACCATCCTTAACAAATCAATTAGGAAAGAAAAAAATGGAATTTTAGGTGAAAAAAAATACTAAACATTTCCGTTTATTCAAAAACAGAATTATGGAAAAATTTTAATTAATCAAGAAGTCTATTCGTACAATCAAATAGCGAAGCTAATAACTTCAAAATCAAGCAATTTTTCAATTACATCCACCACCGAACAAAGAAGCAAAACCTACGACTGAAATTACGTAAACAATTCCATTAATAAAAATGGCAAACGGCACGTGATCCCACGCGAATGAGCCTAAAACTATATTCAAATATTCTAATACCATCGTTCACGTTATTCCAATCCTTCAAACAAACCAAAACAATTTTCTCACGCAAATGACGTAATCCCCGAGCCGATAAAGTAAATCAGGAAATGCTTAGCACTCCCTCGCAAATACTAAACAAAACCGAAGCTGCATATTTTTCGTTGCAGCCAGCGCACTATCGCCCACACGTTCCCATAATTGATTAATTAATCCAAGGAAAATAATGCCCATTTCGTTAATTCCCCTATTTACCGATGACGCAGCACGGGCGAAAATTCCGAACAAAGCGAGCTGAGGATTTCTATTAGTCTCGGTAATAAATCCTCCTGCGTCGTAATTATGATCATTAATTAATTATGTAGCAGTCACCTCAGGACTGGACGTCATTACATTGCGGTGGTATCTCCCCTGAAGTGCCTTTGGGGTTTATCAGCGGTCACCGGATGGCTTCCGCTTAATCCACGCACGTGATGATCATTAATAACAATCGTAATGTGCACTCATTAATTGTTCCGGGAATCCCCGAGCGATATTACTCAATCAAACGCATCGTCTGACGCAACAGCGAGCGTCGCACTCCAACATCTGAATGATCGTTATAATGCAATTGCCGTTACATCTGCAATTAAGATTTAATACACTTGTGTTCTACTTTGCGTTGTGCTGCAGTTTATGATTTTATGCTTTTGTAATTGCCGCGGTGGCCCCTCTGGGGCTCTGACAATTGCCGGTCAAAGGCTGAGTGGGTCATTAAAATCATCTTTCCGATTTTTTTTTTATGATTCTTCTTTTGCTGGTGGTTAATTACTGCAGTTGACACCTTGCGAATTTTATGGCCTTGTCGGGGGGGTAATTCGTTGATGCAGATTCTGTGATTTTGCAAGCTTCAATTATATTGTTTCGCGAGTCACCTTGGATATTCAACGAAAATTATGTTTACTAATGAGGGAGAGAGACGGGTATATGAATTTTGGTTGAAGGTTTTGCCCTCGCCACATGATTCCAGAGATTATTTTACATTTTGGGAGAACAATTGTCTGGAGTTGGAATGAATGGATGAGTACACAAAAGTATTTCGAATCCCTTCCAGTCATCCATGTCTTCTGAACGTATTTAATATAAATGACCTCTGCTNCGTATTTCTCGTAAAAATTCACTGTCGCTTCGATTTTACCGTGCTGCACAAGAATTTTTCCCCACATTTATCCGAAAAATGACTCGTGCAACAGTACTTTTTCCTACTCTTTGCGGTACATTTGGCCTGGAAAGACCATCTGAACCAACTTTACTGTGCGGGCACGGTAATTTTTCTCGTACATTTCTCTCCGTGTAAAAGGTGACCGTTACCCGTTAACAAAGAAAAACCATTAAATATATGAATTTTCGGTTGAAGGTTTTATTTTCGTCGCATCATCTCGGAAATAATTTTACGTTCGAAGAGAACAATTCCCTGAAGTTAAGAACCATTAATTTTGTTTGTCAATTGAAATTATTAAGTCATAGTTAATAATATGAAACTAAATTAACCCTTTAATCGTTCAGAAAAAAACTAATGGCTACAAAAGTAATTAGAATCCCTTCCACTCATTTCAGACAGGTTCCTTGGCTTCTGAACGTATTTAATATAAATGACCTCTGCCTCAAAAGAAGTGTTCACTCATATCAAGAATGTCTCTTCCCTGACGTCAATCCGCTTCTTTCCTATTGAATTCAATTATTCATTTTTCATTCGAAAGAATAATTCTATCAACAATTCTAGTATGACATCAGGTCTCTAGCTGTCGCTAGAAATAAAACGATTCACGATGAGGAGTCAATCAGCGAATTGATCTCGTGCACCGTAAAAGATGACCGTTACCCGTTAACAAAGAAAAACCATTAAATATATGAATTTTCGGTTGAAGGTTTTATTTTCGTCGCATCATCCCGGAAATAATTTTACGTTCGAAGAGAACAATTCCCTGAAGTTAAGAACCATTAATTTTGTTTTTCAATTGAAACTATTAAGTCCTAGTTAATAATATGAAAATAAATTAACCCTTTAATCGTTCAGAAAAAAACTAATGGCTACAAAAGTAATTAGAATCCCTTCCACTCATTTCAGACAGGTTCCTTGGCTTCTGAACGTATTTAATATAAATGACCTCTGCCTCAAAAGAAGTGTTCACTCATATCAAGAATGTCTCTTCCCTGACGTCAATCCGCTTCTTTCCTATTGAATTCAATTATTCATTTTTCATTCGAAAGAATAATTCTATCAACAATTCTAATATGACATCAGGTCTCTACCTGTCGCTAGAAATAATACGATTCACGATTAGAAGTCAATCAGCGAATTGATCTCGTGCACTGTTTGTTCACTGTAAAAGGTGACATTTCGCAATCCACCAGTGACTAACTGAAAGAAAAACCAAAACAAACGAATGAAAAAAAAACCTGAAATCACTAGAGAAAGAAAGAGATCACATGGGTGCATGTGGGGACAGATTGAAGGTGTGGTCGACGATACTGACGGTAACTGCGGTTTGTTTCGAGCTGGGTGACTCCGCCCGCAGGACATTATGCGGAAGAGAGAAAAAAGGAAAGTTTGAAAAATAAGAAATAACTTCTCTTTGATGTGTGGGACAATTGAATTGCGTTGGTAGGTTTATTCAAACCATTAAATGTCACTTGAACATTCAAAACTCGGACATGAGGGATTTTTCAATGCAGAATGAAAGGAAAATTGGCTATTGGGGAAAATTGTATCAATTTTTTATGGAAATTGCGGGGTGGATGGGGCGGGGGAGATTGTTGAGACCTCATAAATCTCAGAAATGTGCCCTCTAGTCTTCCGGATTGACTCGGGGATAGATTACGCAATGAAAGTGCATTGTATTCAGTCTGCGACTGAGTTTCCAGTGGCTCAGAGGGGGATGAGATTAGCATAGAGCGTGGTTATATGCGTATGCACTATAACCAGGGCGTATTTACTTGGTAATCTGGCATTCACGCAAGCTAACGCTTGCACCGCCCCGTTGACCGCACATTCCACACGCTTTATGAATTACCGATGTTAAATAAAATCTTATCAAGGTTCAGTTGGTATCGGGGATTAATAATCTGAGATTTATAATTTGTTTGGTAATTATTTAGCATTCACATTATTCTACTGTGGGACTGCATTCTTGCACGATCGGTTTGTAATAGTATATTGTAAATCTCAGGTTAATTAATTTCTATTAATTTGCGGTCTTGAGGGGGTGGAACTCATATTTAGTCCCGGATTTCATCTAGATGTCTTGACTATTCCATTCTTCATGTCTTGGTACATGAAGTCATTTCGATAGTGAGTTGTTTTGGGGAAGAATTTCAAGAGATTTCTTTATAAGTCAATTACAGTTTATAATAATCCTCAGGGAAATTCAATTCTAATTCATTTTTCACTCATCTTATTCGCCTGAAATGGAAACTGAAATCAAAAATATTTCTAACATCGAACATTTTTTATTGTTAAAGTAATAATAATCATCTTTACAACAGCAATACAATACCATAATATTCTAAACATGTACAATGCCGGTGTTTTTCCATATTTTTTCTCTATGAGTTTTTATGAACGAAAATATTATTTACAAATTACGAAGATTGATATCAGTTGCTCTCATTTTCGCAACATTTTACACACTGATCGGATGAATTCGTGACTATTTTCTCCCACCTTCGTATTTACGTAATAAAAAATTACCTAGGAAGAGTTGAGTGCTGGAATTCACTGGAGTATTGTATGAAGTCCATAAGTCCTTCAGCTGAAGTGCAATGGATGCCCGAATTCACGGAGCATGGTCAGGAGTGAAGAGTGGGTTGTTTTTTCAACGGTATCATGCCGGGAATATTTTCTTGCGTAATAATTGGAAAGTGGAGGAATCTAAATTTTCATGTTATAATTTCTTTTTACGTATTAATGACTACAGTAATTAAAATCGTTGATGCCCAGTGAGCAGCATGAATTTATTAACGCAATAATTTACGTATCGTTTGCTTCAATTTTCTCAATTTCTTCTCTGTGAAGTTTACACTGGAGTTTGAAAAATTCTTCATGTAATTTCTCTTCGAAAAAATTTAGGACGCGTTGAAAATGAAAATTCTCCGTTAAATCTCTCCCTTCCGAGTATAGACACAGAATAATCTCCATACGAATTCCAAACTCATCTCTTGATGGAGTTGAATTACTGGAATAATTGCACGTTTGTGGGCGGAACGAGAGGTCCCAGCATTAAATTTCAAAAGAGCCTTATTAAATCTGCAAAATTTTTCGTAAAACCCCTCGTTAGTTATTTGATCATCTCTTTACATTCTTCAATGAAATAAAATTCAGTAGCGGATAGGTAAAAGAAGATAAGTGCATTTATTCGAAATTCGTAATATTATTATTACCATTCGAAAATTAATATTTCAATGTAATTCACGCAAATTTTTTATTTTTCTTTTAAATGCACTGAACTCCTTTTACCACTTGGCTATTGAATTGAAAAAATGATATTTTTTTAATCTTGTCAATCGAGAGCATTAAAATTTCGGTTTATGAACGTCCTATCTACTTCTATGAATTATCAAAAATATTATTTCACTCCTGCTGCATTGATTAACAGCACGTGACTCACCTGAACACGTGTTACACGTGTTCAAGCTCTTGATAGTTATCTATTCATCTCCGAAACAAAGAGCTTCATGCCGACATAATCAGGCGACCTCTTTTTAGGCAGAAAATATTCCGCAAAAAATTTCTCTTGATAACATTTCGAAAAAAAAAGCCTCTACATCGGTTCTACGAAGCTTAAGACGTGTTGCAAAATACATTCGATATGTAAAAAAATGGTTCAGACATTTTGTAATAATTAAACATCAGTCAATGTTCAGCCCTAATTCGCGGCTGTGGCACATGCGCACCGCCTCGTCGTTCACTGCAGCCTAGTGTTATCAATAGTATCTTCAGCTAGATCGACAGATTCTGATTTGATGCCGACAAAATTAAACGGTTCTACTAGTCGAAATGAGGGCGCTCCATCCTCCACTTTTATCTGGGGTTGATCTTCAATTGCTAAGGGATCCTCCTCTTTAACTTCTACTTCCTCTTTAATTCCACTAGAACTCGGTGCGGCGCAGGGTGATACGTATGCAGACGCAAATTTTGAGGTAGCTTGACACGAGAAGTATCTGGGATAAACCCCTTCTTTCAGCCTCTTCCGGCATCCTGTCATTTTCCATTCCATGTAATTTTCCAAGTCTTCATCTAGCTGGTCATGTTCAACATATTCAACATGTTAGAGGACATGTCAATTTTCAATGCAGTGGGACAAGATAATAACTTGAATGTGTTGAAAAATTTTGGACTCATTGAATTTTGGATGAAAAAATCCCATTTTTTACGCGACACTTCATCTCGTATGCACACATCGGCATAATCAAAATTTGGAATTACAATTAAATTTTGAATAAGTCAATTGGTAATATTAGTCACCAATTTTTTTATTATAAGAATGACCATCAATTTAAATATTCAAATTTCGAATTTTTTATCAACTAATAATTGAGAAATTAAATTACCAATTATTATTATGTTATTTCATATTTCAATTATGCAATTTTTTTTCATATATTCAAATTTCGAATTACAATTATTATATTATTTTTCAATTTTCAATAATTATTTAATATATAAATAAATCTAAATTACTGTAAAGTGCAACTTCTTATAATATTACACGGAAATATAAAATAAAAATTACGTATCTTTTCCGTAATTCCGGAGCGAAATGTGGTTGTAGGAAATTTTACGGAACTGTCAAGGAATTTTTCCGGAGTGTTCCGCAATTTTTATCTGAATCTCCTGTGAAAAATGACGATACCGTCCCTAAAATTTTCTGAGTCGATTCCGTAATCGGTGAGTGAATCGTGAGTTCCGTAATTTTTACTGAACATTGAGTAGAAAAAAGCATTTTGCCGCGGTCTAGTCATCACAATATGAAAAGGACATGATTCACAACGAAAACGGATTATTGCGATTTCTCAACTGAGAAAATGTCCTCAATCGGTTTGAGACTATAAATTAAAAGTGATGTCATTGAAATAATCGGAACATTTCATTCAAAATTTTAAAAACCTCAAGGGACATAAAAGCCACAGTTAACGAAACAAATTTATGAAATATAACGCGAATGTATCAGCAATGTTACTAACAACAGGTACAGCTCCACGTTTGAGTCGTCTCTTCCCCGGATTAAAATCCTGCAAAGATGAATATTTATCGGATCGCCTGAAGTTCTCGGGAAACCCCTAGACCTAAACAACATACCTGGTAGATGACATTTCCCTTGCCATCGTTGACAGTGAAACCGAAATCTATACTTCTGAAGTGTCTTCCACAAATAGTAAACCAATTGTTAACACGAAGGTTAGGGTATACTTTACGAATTGCAAGTCTCCACTTCTCCCGAGTGGCTGAATCACTGGGTAATCTAAAGACTGTCTCTTCCGGCTCTGCAGGACAATTTGGAATTCTACACTTACGCATGATGAGGGGTCGTTCAATTAAATTTTAAATTACAATATTCATAATCGTAATGCGTCTAACATCTGTGCACAAATGTTAACTTTAGTGGTAATGTGCTCTCATCCGTGGATCGATCGGTATACGCCTGAATGAATGCCATACCGAACGATAGATGGCGAGACTGCATGATGAAATTCTCATTCTCAATCTCTCATGTAGTCGCACCGTCTGTCGGTAAAACCCCGAATCGTCCGGTTTTCAGCTCGTAAATTTAATCTTTCATTTCTAAAACCAGAGAAAACGGGTTTTTTTCTTTGGATTTTGGACGGATTTTGCGTTATTTCAATGACATCACCTGCAACTATCAATAACTTGAAACCTTGAAACTTCACGAATATTCAGGAGCTAATGGAAAGTGTTCAGGAGCCATTGGAAATAGAATTAGTGTTTAATAGTATTTCATGGGAAAATATTTTTTGTTTTGTATCTGGAGAATAAATAAATGCCCTGATGAAGAACACTTGGGTTCGAAATGTTGGCAAATAGTGGAAGAATTGTTCTTTTCTCTTGCGATTTTTTCTTTTTTCAATTCTAATTAAAATTACAACTATCAATAGCTTAAAACCTTGAGACTTCACGAATATTCAGGAGCCCTTGGAAATAGAATTAGTGTTTAATAGTATTTCATGGGAAAATATTTTTTGTTTTGTATCTGGAGAATAAATGAATGCCCTGATGAAGAACACTTTGGGTTCGAAATGTTGGCAAATAGTGGAAGAATTGTTCTTTTCTCTTGCGATTTTTTCTTTTTTTAATTCTAATTAAAATTACAACTATCAATAGCTTAAAACCTTGAGACTTCACGAATATTCAGGAGCCCTTGGAAATAGAATTAGTGTTTAATAGTATTTCATGGGAAAATATTTTTTGTTTTGTATCTGGAGAATAAATGAATGCCCTGATGAAGAACACTTTGGGTGTTCGAAACGTTAGCAAATAGTGGAAGAATTGTTTTTTTCTCTTATGATTTTCTTTTTTATTTCTAAATTGAAATTAAAATTGCTGTTATCACCGTTAATGGTTAAGGAGGTTGGGTTTTTTTTTGATAATCTACCATCAGAGTAGATAATTTAAATCCATTTTTTAAAGATGAACCGATAATTTCCACAAAATCATTCTTACGCGCTTCATAACGATGTTACACAGGATGTATGAATTCAGATTTCTCAGAATCATCGTTTCACCATAGAAAAAAATTGAATTAAAATTTAAAACAATTCTACTATCTATCCGCACGGAGAAATGTAATTCAGTGGCGAAATGGTAAAACGGTATAAGTCAGTTTTGACTATTGATCAGTTTTCAATGAATATCTCGGAATTTAAGGGAGATAGCGAAATTGTAGTTATAACCTTTTTTGTAGAGCCGATTGAGTGCTACAACAAATGTAATTATGTAAATTTCGCTATCTCCCTTAGATTCGGAAATATTCCTCAAAAACTCAACTGGGAGATGAGTCGACTTAAACCGCTTTACCACTTCGCTATTATTATTAATATTATTAATATTATTATATTATTAATTTCTATAAAAATTATACTCACTTTGAAGTGATCTTCGCAAATGGCACTACTTAACCTCAATTTGCCAGTGTAAGCAGCCGCGATGCACCAGAGCCTTCGAATTTCTTCGGATTTCGGAACACATATGAATATTTTGTTGGGTGTTGTTATTGTTGTACTTCTGCAGTTAGGCACAAAACAGTATTTATACGTTGGTGTTTTTTTCTTTTCTTTTGACATTTTTTGAGCAATGCAAAGGCGAGTATTTCCACAGAAATCAGCGGTGGCTTGTCCGACTGGTGGCGCCACTTGGTTAAAGCATGTGGTGTAGTGACATCATGAGCCATTCCGGGAGATTTGAACATTCAAAAATTGATAGTCTATTACTGAACAATTTTTCTAGCGCTTATATTGGAAAAAATGTCTCATTGAAGCCATAAACTCGCGGAAAAAATTTTTTTAATTAAAAATCATACAAATTCTCTTCGTAAACTTCCCCCTCAGCTCGAATACAACGTGGAGGAATATTATTCAACTCCTGCTGAATTTAATAACCGTACGTGAACCCCACCATCACGTGTAACACGTGTTTCAAACCTGAATAGCTTACGTTTTCTCATAAACGACCGATATCCGTTTCATGAGAGTCAGCACTGGGGCTGTCGTGGAGGTTTTAAAGAATAGAATGTTTTGCGAAACACCCTGTGCTCAATTACCCAGCCGTATTGTCGTTGTCTCGGGATTAATGTTGACCTTCGACGAGCAACTGGCTGCGGAAATGAAAAAAAATGAATAAAACCCATTGTCTATTATGGAATTCCCGCCGCTCAGCATTTCTCGAGGGAAAAGAGAGCATCAAAAAGTTGATATGAATTCATTTTTTTTTTACTACCCCAACAGATGACTTCTCCCCCGGTCTTATGAGAAAAAAAATCAACTATAAAGTCAATTAAAATTATTTTTTATGAAAATTTTGCGAGACATTTTTTTTTGATAATTTCTTCAATTACGAAATAAGTCTCCTGATATATCCTCTGATTACTGGTATCTAGAATGCGTGAACAAGGGTAACAAATGAAATAATGACCAAATGAATAAATGAATTGAAAAATAAGCATAGCAGTTGCAAATGCACTGAAAGCAACTATGATGCAATTAAATGAAAAAATAAATTGACAAAACAAAAAAAACAAAAATTTCTCCATGTATAAAATTCAGACATTTAAATAGATTAGGAGGTCTTAGTTGTGTTATAATATAATCAATATGAATAATCCTTTTCATAATGAGTATTATTTCGACCTCTTCATTTTACTAATTTCATTATTATACTTCATGCTTATTTAATTCGATCCTGTAATTGGTAGAGTGCTGTTGGGTCTGCATGAAATAAAAATTAAATGAAGTGACTACCGATTTTTTCTAACGAATTGTTTTCAACTGCTGAATGAATGGTCTTTAATTCCTGGGAATAACTAATCAGGAGTTTATTTCTCTTGATTACAGAGAACTTGGCGCCATCGGAGCTGAAGAAAATGAGGAACAAGCAGCGCAAACAGCGCAGGAAGGCGGAACTTGAGAGACAGCAGGCTGCCCAGGCCCAGGAGAAGAGGGAGCAGCATAATAAATCCCGACAGCAGGCTGATCCTGACTTTGAACAGCCGACATTAGACGAATTGATCCCCGAGAAACTTGAGAGGGTCAGTAATTCATCGAACCCTTTTTCCACTTTCTGCTCGAGTAAGATAAATCGATGTGGTCTATAACTGTCGTTTATTTGATCTGCCAGGTTGAAGATCCACTGGAGCAGGCGATCAAGTTTCTGCAACCCCTGCAGAATCTCGCGGCTGATCGAATAGAGACTCACTTGATGGCGTTCGAAATCTACTATCGTAAAGGTAACGATGTGCATTAATCTTTATTTCGAGAAATGATCTTGATAATGTTGGAGACAAGTTCAAATGTTTTATACAGTTTATTTTTCAAATATTTGAAGAGCTTGTGGATTCAGAAAGAATCGTGAGGAGACTTTTTTGCAGAGAATTTTATAACATTAATTAAACTGCAGGACCCTTAATGAATCTTCATTAACAGGAATTTGGATTGGAAAAAATCTAATCGGCAGACTCTTTCCAAACTCTGGGAGAAAAACAAATCGTCACTATTATAAAACCTATGAACACGAGCAAAATTATTGTGTTTCAAAAAATATTGTTTGGATACATTTAAAAAATACATTACCTTAACATTAAGAAACTAAATAAATTGTCGTTTTGGGAATCTCTTTTATATTCAGAAATACAATGCAGTAGTGAAGTGGTCAAACGATTCAAGTCTAAAGGAGTTGGCAAAATTTTCCTAAAAATCTTTTTTGTAAATAAAAGTGAAGACTACTCTGAGAAAAAAACTTCGATGTGCCAAATATTCATTTATTTGAGAGAAGCATTGATTTGTTCAAATTCGTATTTCTTCAATCGATTCACGCCCAGGCCCACCTGATTAGGTTTCAATTGTAGCAATCATATTGCCCTAGAGGATGACTATGTTGCACATGACCATGGATGAACTCCTCTAATAATTATTCATTTTTCCTAAACTTCTTATTTTCTAGAGGGAAGAATATCGATTAATTTCTTCATGTTGATAATTTTTTAAGTTCACTCAAGGTCATAACTAACATGATCATCGTCTAGAGCAATATAATTAACATAATTGAAACCTAATGAGGATTGTTTGGGAATGACTCTATTGGAGAAATACGGGATTGAATAAATAAATACTTCTCTCAAGTAAATGGATATTTGGCAAAAATATTTTTTTCTCAGTGTATCGAAAAAGATCTTACAAAAATTTCGCTATCTTTTTCATTTCAGTAGCGAAGCGGTAAATCGGGTTGAGTCGATTTTGACAATTGGCCAGTTTTTGACGAATATCTCGGAATCTAAAAGAGATAGAAAAATTTTTGTTATGACCTTTTTTGTAGAGCGAATTGAGGTCTGTAAAAAAAGTCAGGACCGGTTTACCACTTCGCCACTGAATTCCGAGTTATTCAACAAAAACTCAACTGGGAGCCAACCGATTGACCACTTCACTTCTGAATAAATAAGATGTCGCGGTTCTGCAGAGAATTACCATTAATTAGACGAAAGGCTCCTGAATAATCATCAAAACCAAACGAAAAAAATATAAAAATGCAAGAATGAAATAAAAAATCAAAGCAATCGAATTAAATTTTGCGTTTCCTCCAGGTCGAACTCTCCTGATGCTTCAATCAATAAAACGTGCGCATCGCCTGGACTCAAACAATCCGGACCTCCACTCCTGCCTGGTGCGTTTCCTTCGGCACACAGGGGCCTCCCCCCTGGAGGGTCCAGTCGCCGAAGTAGTCAGGCATCAAACCCGCGAGATCTACTCCAACTCCGACGCAGTGCAATTCAACAGCGAATTCCTCCAGAAGAACAAAACCTCCCTTCCCCACCTCCTACAATGCGCCAGGATGCTGTACCTCTTGGATCCAACATCTCAGTCGAAAGCTCTCTCCCTGGCCACCAGCCTCGACGACCTCACTGGGGTCACTCTGCCAACCTGCACGAGGGTGCTGGAAGCCCTTAGAGCCAACGACTTTGGCCCCTGCGACGCTGCGATAGACGACTACATGAACAAGTGTCACAAACGTTTTCCCTATGCAACTGCATTCAGACCACCAGAGGCTAAACCACCAGTTCAACTCAATGCAACACTCAATCGCCAGGACAAGGAGAACTCCATCAAGAACTGATCGTCCATCACGATTATTCATCAATAACTCTAGTAAAAACCAACGAGAATCAACAAGAATCAAGATTAAATAACTAAAACCTCCAGAAGGATGGAAACAATTAACTAGAATTTTTCTCTCTGAAGAAGATTAAAACGTGCATGAAACGTTTGTGAGGGTGAGCCTGGGGGAGATCCACAATTTTTTCGATGAAAATTGGGGTATTTAGAGCTGCTGGATAATGGATTTTAAGTGCGGATTATAGTGATCATATTGGAATAGTGTCGATAATGGAGCGAAGAAAGTTGATGAGGATATGATGAGGAACAATCTTTATGAAATTAGACAACGCTGGGGTCTGGGGGTCGTTTATGGAATTTTAATGTAATACCAAGGACTTTAGGTATGTTCAGTTGATAATCGTATTATGAGATAAATGATAATGATGCACTTGGGGGAGGGGGGGGGGGAGAATGCCTGGTGAGTGGATTTAAAGTGCGCATTTCAACGGTTTAAATAAAATGAAAATTATAAATACAAGATAATGTAAGACTTTTACGTTTCATATGCTCTGGCATCATTAAAGTGAAGTATCAACCAATTTATTGATAAATAGTCCGTTAATTAAGAGGGAGGGGGTGGAAATTCATCAACGATTGCCTAGGGTTGGGCACNGGGGGGGGGGGGGGGGGGGGAGAATGCCTGGTGAGTGGATTTAAAGTGCGCATTTCAACGGTTTAAATAAAATGAAAATTATAAATACAAGATAATGTAAGACTTTTACGTTTCATATGCTCTGGCATCATTAAAGTGAAGTATCAACCAATTTATTGATAAATAGTCCGTTAATTAAGAGGGAGGGGGTGGAAATTCATCAACGATTGCCTAGGGTTGGGCACTCTACTGTGTAGAGTCAATGGGGGGGAGTTATTTTATCATCGATGTGTCCTTCATCAGTCATTATGGACTTAAGATTGTGTAATTAATTTTTGTGTCATTAAATGGATGAGAATGGTTTGTTCATTTATTAAAACTTAATGAAGGTAAAATCATTGGGTGTTTTCTCTTTTTTTTTTCTTTTTCCGAGAATCTGTCGATTTTTTTTTTATTAATCAGTGATCAAACGCAGTATCTGGATTTTTTAATCAATTAAATTGAATTAAAATGAATGAGGAAATTGTCGTCAAGACGTGTCTGTCAAAATTTCCTTGATAAATCACTTATCATCGAGATAAGTTTCAAGGTTTTGCCACTTCACTCATATGTTCAATACATTTTTATTTGTTTTTCCGGCCTTCGGGATGAGTGCTCAATTCATTACTATCTACCGTCTACGTAGATTTACGTAGTAACTTATGAATTTGAAGACAATTGGTTGTGATTTTTCATACTATTCATTTTCTGTTAAATTCAATAGTTGTCATTGTATCATAATCACTCACTAATTGAACTAAAAATCGCATCAATCTTGAGAAGGGCGAAGGCATGTAAGTTGTAGGGAAAATGTATCGTGAGATCATTAAGAGAATTTTGTAAGAAATCTCATCGACAGACTCTTTCCAAACTCTTCGGGATGAAATGTAACAAAATAGTTGCTACTGAATCCCACGAAATTTCTGCATCAATAATTGATAAATTCTTAGATAAATAATACCAGCAAAATTATTGTGATTCGAAAAATATTGTATGAATTCATTCGATAAAAGTGTGAACCATTCACGATAAAAGTAATTTTGTACAGAAATATGATAGTTAACAGAAGAGGGAAAAAATAATAATTGTATAGTAGTAATCATCCAGTCTTCACCGAAAAATCCATTACTTCAGCATTAAGAATCTAAATAAATTGTCGTTTCATGAATTTTTCATACATTAGGGAATACAATAAATAAACTGTCTAATTATAGTAAATTCAAAAAATATCTTCATTTTTATTTCGATTTTTTTCTCCAGTAAAACATTAATACATCCCTTCAATATTATTTTTCAAATATCTGAATGATGTGATAAAAGCTGATTAACATTTTTTATTCCTCAAGACGGAAGTTTAAATAACGAATAAAACAAGACGAATTTCCACAAAATTATTTCACAATGACCAAAAAATCGAGAACATAATAAAAATAGGACTTTTGCCAAATGATGAAACAACTTCCTTGATTAATGCTAGCCCGAAATATTTGTAATGGAAATTCCTATTTATGATTTAATGCACCCTGGTAAATGTAGCTGAAGGAGTTCCTTGTCACTTATCTTAAATTGTACAAAAGAACGCGTCCAATAAAAAATATAACGATTAAAGTCTCATTATTTGTCAACTCGTCAACGATTAATAAATATCTTTTTTGCATTTTTTTACCTCGAAGTATAATGACGTATTATGATTAATAGTTTGGTTGAACTTTGTCTACCTCTCAATTCTCACTAAAAGCAGTTAAAAAACTGTTAAAACCAGTCCATTTTCTTTTCGTTCTCCTCGGTACTAAAGTCATGAACCTCTCAGCTTCTTTGCTGGTGTCTCTGGTAACTGATTCTGTTTATTCCAATCAATTTGATTGAAGTTAATGGTGATTTGCCCACTCTTCGGGATGAATTGTCTGCAATAATTGAATCATTACTTGATACATCTGTTTTGTTAAAAATTTTCTCATCTAGAAAAAACATCTCTCGACATTTTAGATGAAGAATTGATCCGGAATAGTTTTGTTTCGTGTTTACTTCGGGTTTCTCACCTGTACTCGACCTTAGCAGCGTCCAACATCATCTTAGAGGCGATGGTTTGGGTCTTCTGGCTGTTCTTATCAGACATGTAAATGACTTTTTTAATCCCAGCCTGAATTATCATCTTTGCACACTCGTTGCAAGGGAACAATCCTACGTAGATGGTGCAGTTTTTCAAGTCGTAGGAATTTTTGTTCATAATTGCATTCATTTCTGCATGGCAGACTGCAAAAATCATTGATTAACAGATTTATTAATTCGTCAACTCATGAGTGTTGAAAAGAATAAAGTTGATCACATAAAATGAGCTAAATTATCGAAGAATTCCCTTGCTGATGATAAAAAATTTTAATTTCTTCAGTTGACAGAAACGTCTCGTGACATTTCATCCTAAAATCCCTCATTCCAGGATACCTGAATGCACAATTACCAAAATAATCCAATTTGAATCGATTAATCACTTACCAAACAAAAATTTAGAGTCTAGTTCGTCCTCACTGCTTTTATTCCACGAAAACTCATCATCACTGCAGCCCCTGGGCATTCCGTTGTATCCAACAGCAACAATTCTCTTCATCTCATCAACAATGCATGCCCCCACCTGCGTGTGTGGATCCTTGCTTCTCTGCGCCGAGAGGAAGGCAATGGCCATGAAATACTCATCCCAAGCGATGAAATCAGTTCTATAAGCATTCCCATTTCTGAAAGTGCGAATTTATCACGTAATATTCAAACTACTGAGTCCGTTGAATCGTTCGTCACTCACCGGTGTTTTGAAGGCGAAACTTCGCTGTTGTTCTCCATTTTGCTCAGTGAATATTCCCTCGATAGCCAATATTTATCAAAAAGAAGTGACAAAATTTATGTTGCAAATATACTTTAAGGGTCACGAGGGTCAGTGAACAAATTGAGAACAACAATGGATGCGGGATGATATGACCACGCAGCGATGGATGGCAGCCCCCGATGAGCATATCATATATCACCAGCAATCAGTTTAACAGCATTGCGCATGCGCGAACTCATTAGCATCATTTTATGGAAAATATTTATTTACGATTCTATGGTAAAGGTATAAATGAGCGGGAACGCGATATAATCGTCATGTAAGAAACAAAATAGTCGTTTTACCGACGAATGGTGTGGGAACATGCATTCGCAAGGGTCACAAGGGCCACAAGCATCACGGCCCTTGTGACCCTTGCGAATCACAAAAAAATGCATGCGCACAAATGAAATGCGCATTGCTTGCGCATGCGCACAGGCGCGGCTGTGACGAGTGGAAAGAACGTTTTCCCGCGAAAATGATATGTACTCGATATCAACCGTCTCTAGAATAAGATCTAATCATTTCAACCTCAATCAAAGCCTATATAGGAAAAAAATAGCTAACTCTCCTCTCTGCTCATATCAAATCGAATATCTCCCCCAGATATGCGATTCCCACGGGGACACGCGATCTTCCCTCTCTCCAGACCTTCAAGGTCTCATTGAGGGGGCCCTTGCGAACTGGGGCCTTACCCTTACCCCCTCGACTGCATTCGTTCGCACATTTACATTCATATACTCGTCGAGGAATCATCTAGAAAACTTTCACATTCAAATCCAAATTTATATTTTCATCAAAAATATTGTTCGTAACTCGTGAAAAAATGTTTTTTAGCACTCGTTACGAAATATACTATTTCAAACTTATATTCTCAAAATTATACTAACGAGTTAAGCATGATTCACATATACTGTTTTTTTAATGTTGAGAGCAGCGAGAACCTTTTCGTTTTCTTTATTGTTATAAAGTTATTACTGAACAAGAAGTTTATTTCAACAATAAAGATATGTAAAATTGCAGAATAGTATATTTCGTAACGAGTGCAAAAAACATTTTTTCACGAGTTACGAACAATATTTTTCATCACAATGTGGCGGAAATTGGACTTTTAGGTACGCGGAGCTTGCCGAAAAGTTCACTTTTCGTCACAGCGTGATGAAAAATTATTTTTAACACTGTTAACAACTAGATATCTGTCCGTTCCACGATCCACGACAGATACCAAGCAACTTTACCTTCACCTCCACTTGTGTTACTGTAGTGAGATAATGTAGAAACCGTTGCAGTACTACAGAACTTCATCACCGACGACTTGTGACCCTTGTAAGCCCTGTAACTACGCATGTGAACCTAGACGTCTGCATCTGCGATACTAGTTCAAAAAATGCCCGCCAGGCCGTCGGAAATTCCCCTCGCAATTCACATCTGTTGTCCTCTCACTCACAGATGCCCCCTCCCTTGCCGCCCCTCCATGAATTTTCGACGCTTTTCGTTTGACAGATTGGAGTTGCGCGCGCGCGCGCGCTGCACCATCATTCCACGTGAATTTTTTTGTTGTTTCTTGTACGTGAATGCCGGTCGTACCACTGATAACAATTGTTTATGCAGAGTCGTTAACAACAGTAGTGTGCATGGTGAGTACGTGAAAATAATTCTAAAATCGGCCATTTTTACTGGCCATGTTTTTTTTAGGAGGACTTTTGCATTCTTTTTTCTCCCCTTCATCCTCGCCGCATTTTTTTTCATTTTTGTTGCTGCAGTGTGTCTCTCGCTAGACGAGAGGGGCTACTGAGGAGAACAATATGGTTTTATCGGGGTTGTATTCATCATCACCGCGGAAGTGATGATAAACACGTCGTGGATAACCGCAAACTATTTATACGCCTTCTCGTTTCAGTTTCCTTTGAGAGATTCTTTTCAATTTTTTTTTAAATTCCTTGCATTTCCTCCGGTGAGATGCATACCACGAGCCAGTGCTGTGTTTCTCATTTTGTTACTTTTTAGTTGTTTTATGGGTCATTTCTTTTTTCGGTGGGACTAGGAATAAAAAATCCTCAGAATGCCGGTTTGTGCTTACTCCCCGAGATCACAAGGTATTTTAATAGCTCGTAAAATTCTTTACATTTTTTATTGTTTCAACACTCGAGACATTAATTTCATTCGCAGTGAAAATCGTCGGTTTTATTCGTGTGCAGATCCACTGAATGCTAATTTTATATTAATCCTGCGATTTTTTCTCTCGTTATCAGTTCAATCTTTGTTTACAGTTCACCCCCGCCTAACCTCAAACCCAACGAATCCCCCCGATTTGATAACAAATGCAGTGTAATTTATTCCGATAGGATTATCGTTTAATAGTCATACACGTTAATTGCTTTTTTTTTCTCGATAATAAATCCGGATTTCAATCCGCAAGGGGGAATCGAATGCTCCATACCACTGCAGTATAAAACAGAACAAGTCGATAAAACAGTTTTCCAATGATTTTGATTTATTGATAATAGAATACCAGAATGAAAGATGTCAAAAATGTAAATTTAAATTTGTTTTTATCCATTTTTCAGGCAGGGTATTCTCCGGTATGGCGGGGAAGGACGGGAAGGTGGAGTCGAAGGGTGATATTGTGAGACAGGGATTTATGGTGAAGCGTTCGCAAAATAAAAAGCGCTTCACACCAATAAACTACAAACAACGATGGTTCGTACTGACACGTCGTTACCTCGTCTACTACGACAATGACAGTGAGGTAAATTGATTTTTGTTCTTCGCTCATTTTTTATAGTTCAAATATAGCAAAAGGGTTGGGTAAAATGGACATTGAATTTTTTTTCTATTATTTGTAGCTCAGTAACACATTCAGCAATTGAAGCTTAAACAGTCGAGGCTTATCACAGAGAGAAAAAATTGTGGGGATTGACAAAGAATCATCCCATTTCATTGAAAGGTAAATGGGCTGTTGGCAATTCAAAAAAAGTCAAGAGTCAAGAGTCCATTTTGCCCCACTGGACGTTGGATGAATTTTATTGCGTTCATCCTTGAGAGATTTGAAAAGTTTATTTATTTATTTATTTATTTATTGGAGACCCAACAGCCGAGGGCACTTGAAGGGTCAAATCGTGACCGAAAGAATAACATAACGATAAACATAAGTAAATTTTACCTCGTAATTGTGAAGTTAATGAATGTTGCCCCTGATTAACTTCACGATGAGCAATGTCTCCCTCGCTTTTCTCCTCTCATCAAGTCTAATGGATTTGAGAGACCAAAATTGGTTTTTGTTCTCCCCTCTATTCCGTATTTGAAAGATAAGAAAAGAGGATAAACTTGTCAAGAATATTATCACTAGGTAATTTCTTCTGTTCGTTGTGACTGATCTTTATTACGTACGTCCTTAGGGAATGGAAAGTTTTCTATTTATTTATTTATTTATTGGAGATCCAACAGCCGAGGGCACTTGAAGGGTCAAATCGTGACCGAAAGAATAACATAACGATAAACATAAGTAAATTTTACCTCGCAATCGTGAAGTTAATGAATGTTGCCCCTGATTAACTTCACGATGAACAATGTCTCCCTCGCTTTTCTCCTCTCATCAAGCCTAATGGATTTGAGAGACCAAAATTGGTTTTTGTTCTCCCCTCTATTCCGTATTTGAAATATAAGAAAAGAGGATAAACTTGTCAAGAATATTATCACTAGGTAATTTCTTCTGTTCGTTGTGACTGATCTTTATTACGTACATCCTTAGGGAATGGGCCAAGTTTTTTATTTATTCATTTACTTATTGGAGATCCAACAGCCGAGGCCAATTGGAGGGTCAAATCATGATACAAAGAATACGTAAACCTGAAAATTCGTGACTTTACATTAAGGGCAACCTAGGTAACTACTACCAATTTAAATTTCGGGACCACCCTTGCCAGCTTTTTAAAATTATAAATTCAATAGTTTAAATTAAATTCAAGAACACATGGAATGGCTTTTTTTATAACAAGCCATATCAGCGTTTAGCGTTACCCACGGTTCGCGACGTGGACGCAGCTGGCACGTGAATCCCAAAAAGCCAATACAATAAAATTAATTTGACTAAGTCGCACTCTTTTAGGTTGCCCGGAAATTTTACCTCGTAATTGAGGGACATAGAAAGCCACACGAGATCTTGAATTGAATTTTGAAATTCTAATTGGAACAAGCTCCAGGAATATGGACAATCAATGTTGCCCTTGATTAACTCCTCGATGAACAATATCTCCCTCGCTTTTCTCCTCTCATCAAGCCCAACTCATTTGCGAGGCCAAAATTGATTTTTGCTCTTCCCTCCCTTTTCCGTATTTCAAATCCTATCGTAAAAAGTACAAGAGGATAAACTTGTTACGAACGGTATCACTCGCTGATCTTTATTACGTACATCCTTAGGGACTGGGAAAAGTTTTTTATTTAGTCATTTATTGGAGATCCAACAGCCGAGGCCAATTGGAGGGTCAAATTATGGCACAAAGAATACATAAACCCAAAAATTCGTGACTTTAAATTACGGGCAACCTAGCTAACTAGTATAAATTTAAATTTCTTTGAGACATTGCATGTAATAATTACATAATCGTAATTTAGGGGCACAGAACGCCACACGAGGCCTTCAATTGAATTTTGAAATTCTAATTTGAATAAGCTCCAGGAATATGGACAATCAATGTTGCCCTTGATTAACTCCTCGATGAACAATATCTCCCTCGCTTTTCTCCTCTCATCAAGCCCAACTCATTTGCGAGGCCAAAATTGATTTTTGCTCTTCCCTCCCTTTTCCGTATTTCAAATCCTATCGTAAAAAGTACAAGAGGATAAACTTGTTACGAACGGTATCACTCGCTGATCTTTATTACGTACATCCTTAGGGACTGGGAAAAGTTTTTTATTTAGTCATTTATTGGAGATCCAACAGCCGAGGCCAATTGGAGGGTCAAATTATGTCACAAAGAATACATAAACCCAAAAATTCGTGACTTTAAATTACGGGCAACCTAGCTAACTAGCATAAATTTAAATGTCTTTGAGACATCTCATTTAATAATCACAGAATCGTAATTTACGCACACAGAAAGCCACACGAGATCTTGAATTGAATTTTGAAA